AAAAAAAAAAAACATATTTGTTTTTATTAAAAAAAAAAAATTTTTTACACGTTAGTGTGTGCGTCTCCATGTTTACTTTTATTTTTTTATTATTCTTGCCTTCTATTGTCTAGTTTTTTTTTTCAACTTTATTTTTAGAATTCTTAAATGTTATTATCCTCTACTTTGTCCTGCAGTTATTATTGTGTGTACAATAAGTCAAAAAGAAAAAAAAAAGGAAACAGAATTACAAAAAACCAAAAACAAAACCTAAAATCCTATCTAATAGTCCTGGGAAATGTCAAAAAATATAAAGTACAGCGCGATGATGTCTCTGTATAATGACGCTCGTTATTATTACAAGTATATTAAATATAAGAGTAAACTACTTTTTTTGTAATACTAATTTGGGTGTGTATGTGTATAAACAGTATGGTGTGTAATTTTGGTTTTCCGTTTTATCGTGATGAATAATGTAGTTGAAAATCATATTTTACAATATTTTTATTACTTTTTTTTATTATTATTATTATTACGGTTACTATATCTTATAATATAGGTGAATAAATATTTGAAACAGGTAGAAAACTATATTAACTAAACAATAAAAACTAACAGAATGTTATTACAATAGCCTTGGCATATAAAATTTTGTTATACCGGGTGGACCAAAACTGGTATTAGAGATCTTGAAGGAATTGGTTCATATCAGTTTTTTAGGAAAGAGATTGTTCATTTTGAAAAATGGTGTAAAAATGGCGGAATTCTAGGAGTAATTTTGAAGAATTCATGAAAACCAAATTTAAAAAATTCTGTTCGAAAAAAAGCATACATAAAAACTTCGAAACTGGAGCCATTTCTCTCAATTAATAGACCTATAATCGGTAATGTCAGTGATATCGGACTTAGCGTTTTCAAGAAATGACAGATTGAACATAAAATTTGGACCTGGAAAGCTGAAAATTAATTAAAAAACATTGATTGTATCAATAATGTTTGCACAACACCACATTTTCTTTTTTTTTTTCAATTCGATAAATTATTCTCTAGTACTTGGTCATTCAACATGATATTGTCATGTTATACATAGGCTATTTGTCACGTAAAGTACTTTTAATGAACTTGCTCGGATTTCAATAATTTCTTTACTCCACTAAGAAATTCTCTGAGTAGTTCCGGACCACCTTTTATTATGTATAACAATATATTATTGCAAAGTATGTAAGTGCATGTTACATTTAATGTATACGTACACGTTTTAATATATATAGGATAAAATTTAAAAAAAAAAAAAGTTATGATCGACCTTGACTACTATAGAGCGTACCCAAAATATCTAATTTTTGTTGTTTAATGGCGATATTATTCATCGAATTTCATACAACATTATCAATCCTGAAGGTCAAATTATACCAATAAAACATTTTTTTTTCAAATTATAAATAATTGAAGCTTATAAATTCAAAAATTTAATACAGGTATATTTTCCCTAAATTCTGTCCTTAATTCACCTTTAAAATAGAATTAAAATTTGGAATTTTTTTTTTTTTTAAATACAATTCGAATTTGATTTCTTTAAAAAATTTATGCCTGTAAACATTTTTTTTATTTTATTATCCCGTATCATGAGTCATATCCCATCCCGTATCATGGGTCATATCCTGTCCGGTATCACTTATCCCGTAGTGTGAATAATACATTCGATATACTATAGGTATCACCTACTATACCTATAGTATATTGAACATATTATTCAAATTATGGGATAAGTGATACGGGACATACATCAACTATACAGTATGAATCCTACATACTTACAGTATGGATCCCACATTTTAAATAATTTGAAAATAAAATTTACAAATTTTTGTCCGATTATGCAATATTATATTGTCAATTTTCCTAACTGATTATATTTCAACAATAAACACATCCTATAGTTAAACATTCCGACATATAAATGGTATTCATATGTGTTCTACCTTTGCAAATCCATAAATATAGTCTCGACACACATTTATTAACTTAATTTTAATATGTCAACTTTAATACAATATATTATATTTCAGAATAAAAGCTTTAAAGCTATAATTTTAACAATGAATAAAATTAACTTACAATTTATGAAAATAAAAATTTTTGTATGTGGTAAAATTGCAACAGTTGCATTGCATATTTAAAATTTTAATTTGATAAATTTCAAAATATATAAAATAAATTTCTTTTTAGAGATTATTAAAATTTTCATTTTTATTTTTAATGAAAAATCTGAATTTTTTGAAGAACTGTGTGAATAAATTGGATTAATATGAACATTAGTTTTTAATATTATTAGATTGCATTCAGAAATTTTTCAGAAGTAATTTAAAATGACGATTAATTTACAAAATTAATGTGAAAATTGGTAGTAATATAATTTTAATGCCAAATATGTGTTTGTTGCATATAACATTTACATATGATTACATACGTTATTTATTAAGAAGTTATTTGATTATTCGGATCCCGGGTTCAAAATTTGTAGCTGAGCTCGGGTTGAAGAAAGAAATTTTGTTTGGAAATTTCGAAAAATTTGAAAATATTTGACTCAATACCTTAAATTCATGCTTTAATGTGCTCATGTTTAAACAAGATTCAGGAATATCTTTTCGCAGTCTATATAGTGTTATTAAGTTCCAACAGGATATATAGATGATCATTGACGATTATCTGAAAATTTATAATGTTTCATACAATTATTTCGAGTTATCAAAGCCATAATACCAATTTTATTGAAAATACAAGAACTTCAATATCAATTTAACGAGTATATATAGCTTAGTTTCTACATAAATTGTGAACCTAAATTGTTGTAATGTATTTTAAATATTTTTGGAATATCCCAAATTCGAGAATATACACAAAAAATTTATGCACCAATTTTAAGAAATTCTGACATCTCTACTTCTGAAATCTCTTTGAATTTATTGGGGTAGTTCAATAGAGCAACAACAACCATATAAATTTAAAGAGAAATAAAATTTTTGTCATTCTTTTATTTTTTCCTAGTAAATCGTCTTTATTTTAAGAATTAAACTTTCATAAGAAGAATTTAATTTCTCAGAATCCTTAACTTCCTTACAAAAAAAAATAATTTTTTATTCAGTAGAACTTTTTAAAAAGTAAAAAAATTCATTTGAAACATTTATGACATAAAGAAAAATAAAATTAAATTATTTTTAACATTGTTATACTCGTATTGTTAAAGTTGAATTTTTGTTCGTAAACTTCTCATTGATTATTATTTGAAAAATGAGGAAGGTATCGTTTTCTTATCAAATTTTCAATAGAAAATATTTGAACTACAAATATCTGTACGAGTTCCTATGATATGAAACAGAACAAATCAATTTAAGGATAATTTTTGTCTAATTGGTTTATTTTGTATGGACAGAGACTGCGAATCGCCACGGTCACTCGGGGGAGATCCTCTTGTCCCATTCGGTTTCCTTAAAAATCTACAAAAATCTACAATATTAAATCTCGGCAAGAAATTTTGTGAATATAACAGTTTAGTATTAAGTATGCGAATTCACTAGATTTGTTTACAATTGTGTAAAAAAATTTGAAAAAAAAAAAAACGGTTGGCCGTACATAATTCCGAGTGCTAGCAAATTCAACAAATTCTACAAATAGGCTAGAAATTGAAATACAAGCAAAATTAAAAAAATTTTAGTAATATAACAATTAATTGAAAAATTTACTTGTTGAGGTTGTATACAAAGTTTTCGGACATAATGGCGAGTTCCTTTTCCACTGACAATATTAAAACGACAATATTAAATTAAAAAAAAAAATGCGATCAATTATCAAGTGTTCGTTTTTAGTGCTAAATTTCATAAAATAACAATTTACAAGTTCTTAAATCGTTCAATTACTTAACAGCTTTAACAATAATTTTTTTTTCGGAAAATTTTCTTAGCAAGATTTTTGTTTTTTCGTACAACCATCATAATAAAATTTATTTTTATTTTTCTGTTTTTATATAGACTTAAGCTGGAATTATAAGAGGAACAAATGAAAATTTTCCATAAAATAATAAAAGTATATTCATAATGATATACAGAAAACAAGTATATTATGACTGAACAAAAGGTGTTTTAAAACGATTATAATTTGTTAAGTATAAAGGAAATTCTTATAACCATAAACAAAATATACTTAATAAATTTGGAAAAAGTTTTGTATTGAAAATTTTTTTTAAAAAAATTTAAAATATTTAATATTAAACAAATTAAATAAGAATATTAAGGATAAACAAGAGCTAGAGCATGAATAGTTAATGTCTTTGGTTAATTTACGTGAGTCAACTCTAATGTTCACCTCCATTTTTGCAATATTCTTTCTTTAATGTAAAATTGAAATTATTTTAACAACATTATCTCAAAATCATATTTAATGCATCTTACAGATTTCTCTGTATTAACATATGGTGTTGTGTTTTATTCCTATTTAAATACATGTTAGTGTAATAGTAAAAAAGTTCTCGTGAGTAAAATAAATTTTAGATTTAATCAGGAATTAAGAATTTTCACAGGAATTCAATTTTCGATTTTAGGAGAGGGCATATACTGGGAAGGAAGTAGAAATTATTTAGTTCTGAATGCAAAACAAAGAATGAATTATTCTGGAAATTATTTAAACTCTAATTCAAATAAAAATATATTTTACATGTGATTTTTTAAAATTATAGAGAGAGTACATGACATTTTAATAAAGAGTAAAAAAATAATTATTATTGAGGGTATATGATTGAATTTTATAAAATAAATTTCCCCTATCTCTGTAATGTTCCACATATGAGAAATTTACCAAATGATTTTTCTCATAAATTGATCACAAATTAATTTGTATTTCTCTTAAACTTATTCATCTCTTTAAAAATAAAATTTTTAAATATTAAAATAATTATTTTTTATATTTTAATTAAATTTAATAATTATTATTATTTTTTTATTTTTTTTTTTACTTCTTTTACATAGGTGATGTATCATCATTAAATTCTGGTGGTAGTAGTTTATATAGTATAACCAAATTAAATGGTGGCTTATATCATATAATATTAGTTGGTCTTTTATTACAATTAACACTTTTAGTCATCCTAATTTTACCTACATATTATATTGAACAGCAACAACAACAACAACAATATAAACCCCAAAAACAATATAAAGAAGAAGGGAAACAAGAAGAACAATTAAAATTGAAAAAGAATGATGAATATAAAAATAAAAAATATTATAATTGTAATCATCAACATCATTATCAATATCATTATTATGAAGAAGAAGAAGAAGAACAACAACAACAACAACTAAAACAATATCATAATAAACGTCATCCTTATCATAATAATAATTATCATAATAATGATGATAATCATCATCAATATCAATATGATCAGAATTTATATGAAAAGGAAGTGCAAATAACTCGAAAGAACTTGATGAATTCATTTTATTCATCATGACTAGAATTACAAAAGCATTAAAAATATATTATATATAAAGGATATTATTATATTATTACATATACATAAACATACGAATGAACATAACAAAAAAAAAAATAATAATAAAATTCATATAGATTTTTTTTTTATTTTGTTTTTCCTCTCTTTGAATATTTTATATATTATTTTATTATATAAATACAAATATGACTACATACGTACTAAATAATATTATATATATATATAAACAAAATGCAGAAAGAAAAAGAGTTTGTTTTTGTTCCTTTCAATTTTATATAAAAATTTACAACAAATTCAAAAAAAAGGACCTTTTTATCTTGAGTTTAAAAAAAAAAAAATGATTTTATTTTTATGTTTGTATTAGGCCTATTTTTTTTTTTTTTTAGAGATAGCATATTAAATTTTTGCTCTTTTATTTTTTTAAAAAACAATTTTCATTCCATAAAGTGACCAATATCATATTGGAGAGAGTATACAGAAAGTATTGGAGAAAGTATTAGAGCGATCAATATCGGGACGACAATATGTTGCGGATTTAATGAACGCTAATTTTACTGAATGATTTTACACACTTTATTTCGAAATATTAATTCTTAACATTTTGCAACAAACTTGAGCATTTAGGATTAATAATTCAGCCTAGGAATTTCAATGCGTGTGGAACTTATAAAGTAATTGTTAATTTTTTTAAACTAAATATTTAATACCTAAAATTTCCTTAGAATTTGCCGTAAGACTTGAAACTTGAATTTTCATTATTTGAACTATTATAAATTTTTTGAAATAATCATCTATTAAATTGCAATATTTTCTTTTTTTGGTATATGTCCTTCCGAATTACATGTCATAAGTGGCCCTTTCGAATAAAATAATCACAAACATCTATTAATTATCAATATATTAACCCTTTCATTCGTCCTGTTATTTATGAGTAATAATTTTTATAATATTATATTTTTTTATATAATTTTTGAATTTATCAAAGCATATGAATATTTGGACAAAATTTAATTACCGTCTTACAATTTTTTATTGTCGTCTAATAAAATTCAAAACAAAAACTAAAAGTAGCCTGATTATGTATTTCGCCATTCTTTCAATCATCTCTTTCACTCACTTTCAAATTTGAATTGTAATTTTTTAATTGTATATTTCATTTTTCCAAATTTTCCAATAAGAGTACAATAGTCTTTCCTTTTTAACTAAATTTTCTCATTTTATCACAAAATATCATCTGAAATTGTCACCTTCAAAAACAAAGTTCATAAATGATGATTAAATTTTTTATAGCTATGCGAAAAAAAACCGAGAGTTAGAACTCGAAAAAATTCTTCTCTCTTGAAAATTACATAATAATGTGAATACAATATAAAACTCACACCATTATCGTCTCAATCCGTGAATAAAAATGCGAGATACGTAAGTAATTTTGAAATCCAAATAAAATAAATGAAAAACAGATATTAGCATTATTAATAAGCCCTCTGTCATGTGCGACATGTTTAGTGCACCAAAATTTTTTGAAAAATTTTTAAAAAACTAAAATGGTGTAAATTTATTAAGCATATTTAAAAATTTTAATGAGACTTGTACAACCATATAAAAACAAATGTTACCTAACTACTAATAGAGATCTATAACTGACTTCATAACAGAACTGCTTAACCTACAAAATGCTATTAAAGAAATTTCTGCTTTATTTTTCTAATTTATAAAACGTACGTGCGTGTGTATTATGAAGGGGTTAATAAGAGTATTTTTTGGTTTTAGTTCATAACATTCTGTAAAATACATATATAAAATTTAATTATAATTATTTCCCCAGTAATATTACAAAATAATCTTAAAAAGGCATAACAAATTTCAATAAAATCAATAAAATTTTTTACATTTTGGGCAACCATTTGTAATTGGTCACTTTGTTTATGCACCCTAAAATTTATTGTTCACCCTATATATTTTTTTTTTCTACTCTACTTTTTTATAATGCGTTTAAATATTAATTTTTTTTTTCTTTTGTTTTTGAATTTTAAAATTTTCATTTCATTTTTTATTTTTCCTTTTACATTTTTGATGTTTTAAGGACATTCATATTTTGCCTTACAAAACTATATTCTTTGCATATTAAATCACAAAAACAAAAATAGAATAAAATAAATAAATAAATAAATAAAAATGAAAAAGGAAAATCATTTTTATAGTTCTGTAAAAGTTTCATTTTATCCTTGTAATAAACTCTTAACTTTTAAGAGTTATGCAGTGTTAGAAATTTTTAATTAAAATAAAAAAAAATTATTATTTTTTTTTTCAATTTTAAAGAATTAAAAATCTTAATTGAAATGCACATAAAATAATATGTGTGTAAGTATGTTTTGTAGAGGGTTTTTGTTGCTTGTTTTACAAATTTCTTAAATAAAAGGAGGCTTTATAGTTTTTTAGTAATTAGAAATATTTTAATTTTTAATGTTTTTATTTTTTCTTCTTCGTCATTTTCTTCTTTTAACTCCTGGGTATTATACAACAGTATATATGGTGTTATATAGGTGCGCAATTTAAAATTTCTTAGAATTTTATTATTTTATTATATTGTATAATTAAATATCTACTATAATAATGGTTATGTATAAAGGATTTTTAAAATTAAATTGAGTTTACACAATTTTATTTATTTAATTTTTCATTTTCTTTATAATTGGAATGCAATGTGAGATTTTATTATTAAATTTTAATTTATAAATTAAAAATAAAATAAAAAAGTAAATCTTTTAATCTGATTTTTTTTTGTGTTTGAAAGAAAAATAAAAACGAGTGCCATATACATAGGCTATTTTTCAAAATAGTTCGTAAATTAATTTTTTTTTTTTTTTTCAAATTTTAATTTATTAGATCTTGAATTAGTTTTGATTATTTCTCTTCATTTTTCATATATAATATTGTTCGCGACCTTATATAATTTTCAAAAATATTTGAAAAAGGTGAGGAGTTAGTAATACCGCATTTAAAGTGAATAAAAGAAAATCTTCTTAAATTACGTTGCTCTTCATTAAGAAGCTGTTGTATAATTAAAATAAGTTGTAAAATTTTTACTTTTGAGGTGTTCAGCCTATTATTAGTAGCCTATTAAATTTTTTTTGCAAAAAATGAGTTATTATGTTCAATAGAAGTGTAATAGCCTAAAGAATATTGTTCTATATTTTTAGTTTATTCTTCTTTTCACTCTATTTTGACAAAATTTCGTCATTTAAAATAAAAATATTTAAATATTTTTCTCGTAATTTAATCGAAATGTAATTTTTTACAAGTAGACCACGAATGTGCTGAGCGCCTCATTTGTAATCATAGAAATATCATTAGACAAATTACTTTTATTTGTTTATGAATGAGAAAGAAAGTAAAGGAAGTCCAGCTTAATTTTTTAAAATTTTTCAAAAATGATCAATATTTTCGATTGGATTGTGCTCATATTTTAATTTAATTTAAAATAATTTTCATTTTCATATTTATATAAAAATTGCATATTTATAGGATGATTTTTTTTTATTTAGAAATCACAATATTATGAAGCTTATCAGTATGTAGGCATTTGAAAATTAAGAAAATTTTAATACTCGTAGTAATAATTATTTTTATTCCAAATTTTTACAAAAACCTCCTTCTCTCATTTAAGCTTATTACTCGTATAACATTATATTTTGTATAATTAAAACATTATTATATAATTTAAAATCATTGATTTTTACACATACATATATACAATTATTAGTAAAATTTTCTCTTTTAATATAAATTAATTACAATAAATTATTAAAATTGATATGCCAATAATATTTTAATATTTTTATAATTATACATAATAATAATAAAATAATTTAAAAATCAAACAAAACAAAAAACCAAAATTAAAATATAAAAATTTATTTTTTAATTAAATTAGTAATTTATATTATTTAAATTAAATGCATAATTATATTATAATTAAATGCTATAAAATCTGTATAATAGTTTAAATAAAAATTTTTTTAATAAATATGAAACTTGTTAAAAATCTTTATGTAGTAAAAAAGATTTGTTATAAAATAAAAAAATCTGATGTGGTCAGCACATAACCGACCGCAATGTGTATTGTCTAGTTAAGTGAAAGTGTTACAGAATATTATAAAAATGTCTGTTAAATACTTCTTTCCAATTTTTAGGACATTAGTAAGCTTATAGTTAACATACTTAGAAAAATGTAAATTTGGCTCTTAGTAGAGTTTCGCTTTGTGCTACCCGAATTCCCTGAAATGCTCACCAGTTAGTTTCGATAACAACCAGAACTCAAATATCAAATTTGAAGAAACTCCATCAATTCGTTCCGTAGATATGGTGAAAAATGTAAAATCGGCCCGCAGATCAGTTTTCGAGCCCTGATCTTTCCAAAAAATTTATATGTTCATAGTTTTCATACGAGGAATTTATATATTAAATTTCAATGAAATCGGTTGATTATTTCTCTTTATATACACAAAAATGTATATTTGGCCCGTAGTAAACGTCCAGTTGCTGACGCCTGATTTCTTCCAAAAGTTAGGAGGTTTCATCGCCGGTAGAGCAAAACTTATATATGAAATTTCAAGTAAATCGGTTGAATATGTTCTTCAATATGCTCAAAAATGTAAAACAGGCTCGCTAAAAAGTGCAGTTCCCGAGGCCTGATATATACCAAAAGTTGATCGATCCGTGCCATGGTGGAAATAAACTTACATATAAAATTTCATCAAAATCGGTTCAGCCGAACTTGAGATACACGCGTGCACACACAGACCGACAGACGGACAGACCGACAGACCGACAGACCGACAGACCGACAGACCGACAGACCGACAGGTTGCTAAAAATAGTTTATTTACACTTCCCTACTATGGAGAAGTACGTTCCCACCGAAAACTCGATATGCAAAATTTGTTGCCATCACATAACCTACCTATTGTTTACACAATACGGTCGGTAAAAAGAAAGAAAAAAAATATTTAAATTAAAATAATTTAACAATAAAATTTTATAAATTAATTTTTAAAATATAAAAATTTAAAATTAAAATTTGGTTTTTTCCACGTTTTTTATTTATTGAAGAATTTAGAGAATAAAAATTAAATTTAATTCCGGTATGATTTGAATTAGAAAATTATTATTGTGAATTGCCATGACAAAAGCAGAGCAAACAAAAATATTCACAATAATTGATTTTTTAATAAAAAAAAATAAAATTTTAAAAAGATATTTCCAAAATTTTTAATCCTATTTTTTCCTAAAATTTCAGAAAGAATTTTTTAAAATTTCAATTAAAATTTTGTAAATGGTAAAAATATAATTTTTGTTTTTTTATAATTAATGTGTATAAATTAATAACAATGTCCACACAATATTTCAATAATTTTTAGTTCTAATTCAGATTCTAATTTTTTATACGTATAAAGGACACAACTATTAAAACTAATTATAATTATATTTAAAAATAAAAATAATTTTAGAAAACACTGAAAACCGAAAAATTTGAAAAGAATTTAATTTGTATTCAGCATT